GGCTATTTCCACTTTTGACACACCATGGTATGTATGTGTTATGTTTATGGTTTTGTTTTGGTGTTTGAGGATATCATGTGACTTTGCCCGTCAATGGGCTATTTCCGTGGGCGATTTACTGAATAAATGAAATGAAATGAATAATCCATGGCAAACAATGTCGCTCACTGCTGGTCATTCTGCGCCAGTGTGGCGGCCTCGCTCGTATGCCGCATACAATGGAAGAAACGGCCAGCCACGCGTCGCCGCAAGCAGGCTAAATTACCATTTACCCAAACATGAAACATGTTTTCCCAACCGGATCTGTAGTCTGTACGAATGGCGAGCAATGTGTGATTATATGGTACTCAAGCTCGTGCTCGGTGATTTGTGCTGCTTTTTGAAACCTGTTTTGATGGTGAATTACCTACCTTATACCTTACTGTAGTTTTGGCTGTAGCTTTCAGCGAAAACATAATTTGGCTCTCTGTTATTAATCCATTTTATTTTCTTCGGGTGTAAACCATGGTTGGTACGCATTTGAAGTGCGCGTTTTAGCATGGTCGTTATTCTAACTTTTCTCTTTGTTCTCTATGTCACAATAAATGGAGAATCAGGGACGTAGCCAAGGGGAGGGGGCCACGGGGGCAATGGTCCTCTTAAGACGAAAAATAAAATGAAATAAAAAAAAATAAAAAAATAAAAACATCTGCACGACAACCCCAAAAACAGTGGTCCAACTCCAAGGAAATTTCCTTTTTTGGAGGGGGTACTTACGACACTAGGCTGCGATCTGTGGCCCATCCCTGAGCAAAATCCTGGCTATGTGACTGTGGAGAAATGGGGAAAATGTTCTTTCTTTGAGAAACATTTTGTTTCTCAGAAGTTGTTTCTCAGAAGTTCGTCCTAGGGTATAAGGTTCAAGATAGATAGATAAAACCAGCATTTATCAGGGACATGTATGCCTCGGGAATAAGAGTTGTTGACGATATAGTTGCTAATAATGGTAATATATAATACTGAACGAGGCCGGTGTAAATAAATTTTCAAGACCGAGGTCCTTACTGAATTTTTGAACGAGGCCGAAGGCCGAGTTCAAAAATCAGTAAGGACTGAGGTCTTGAAAATTTATCACCGGCCGAGTTTGGTATGTATTTTACTGTATGCCAACGATAAAATAATTGTCTAGACCGAAGCTCTTAGCCGTTTTTTGAACGAGGCCATCCCAAAATGTTGACTTGGTAATTCGTTTTTGACCGTGGTCAATTTGCTTACACCAGTTATTACCACACCCCTCTGGCTAATGTATTTGAATAGCCCAGGCATACAGTAATGTGATGAATGTAGAAGAAGTTAGAAAGGCATATCCTCGTGCAACATTGAATTTACTCACAATTCAGAGTAGGGGAGAGTGGGGTAATTTGGCCGGTGGTGTAAATTGGCCGCCCCACCTGTGCGAAAGCTGATAAAAGTGAATGAAATAACTTAAGTCTCTATTCATTTGTCATCGGTAGAACTAACTCGAGAACAAATGTTAAAACTTTCCCCCTCTTAGTTTTATTCAAAATTAATAAAAGGTGAATTTCGTTAGAAAATGGTAACTTTTACTTCCGTTTAAAGATTTGTATAACATGTAGTATTTGGGCTGTAAACGGATTCCAACATTATAGCGCCATTTTTTTAGGGTGCTCAGCGGTTCCAAGAGCAATTTCATCTAGTTTTGTACAGCCATGACGACTTTAAAGACAAAAATTTTCAGAATGGCAATGTGGGGTTATTTGGCCGGGACTATATATAGTCCCGGCCAAGTAGCGGGGCAACTTGGCCGGTGCGCTCAGAGTCACTATGCTGGGACGGCCGAGTTGTAATGGTCAATTATACCATAAAGGACATAATTCATGACCAACTTTGACTACCTTGATGCCATATTTCCTATTGGACAGCTGTAAGGGTATGTGACGTCATCAAAGGTAACCTAACGCTTTTTTTGCTAATAAATACTTACAGAAAAAGATACAGCCGCGCAAATGGCCTTATTGTGTTCAGCTCGTCAAGGCGCATCGAATGATATACATGATGACCTTGGACTCACGTAACCTTGAGGTCACGCGACCTGAGGTAGCGTGACCTGAAGCCAACCTTTGACCTTGACCTCTCGAGGTCAACACATACATGTTTCGATGCGGAATGACGAGAGAATTACGATGGTACTTTTAGTTTTGGCCCAGCTTGATTATTTCAAAAGCTATTCGTAAAAAAACTGTCATCGCATCTAAAGCCGCTATTTTGACTATTTTCGACCCCTGTGACCGCTGAGTCAACCTCCAAAATGCTTCAAATGCGTCATAGGACACACGTCATTGCTGAATGTGAAGCTGACTCGCCTTTAACAAAAATCAGGGCCTCAAACTAACACCGGCCAAATTGCCCCACACCCCCGGCCAAATAACCCTGCTAGTGGGGCAATTTGGCCGCTTTGCAGGCCTTTGTAATGCGTCACAATTTCAATATAAGTAGTTAATCTATTATTTCAAGTTTACTGTCCAAAAAAAGTAAAATGTATGCCGCACCTGTCAGCGTTGAGAAAATGCAGAAATGTGTTGTCCATTTTTAGTTACATCGTTTTCTTAAAAAAGCGGCCAAATTACCCCGCTCTCCCCTAAATAAAATAGATGGCTGTGATGAGCATCGTTACTATGTAATACAAAGGCTACTTCTTCTCGTATTACACAATTCAGAGTGTCATAAGTGCTAACTATACAGTATAATCCGCTTTACCCTCGCCGGGCTAGGGGACTGGGAGGTTGATGCAACCCCCCTAAGGTTTTTCGCGAATAACGTAAAAACGCGCCGCCAAATTTGGTTGGTATAACTATGTAATATGTATCCCTCGGGGGCAACCTTTTGGCACCTTCCCTGAAAATTTCAGGTCTCTGCCAAGTGCCATTTCAGGTCAGGTCACCAAAACCGTTACAATGTCAGGGTAAAGTTAGACTACATATATAAGCAACAACGGAATCGCTGAGTTTATCGTTTATAGCGTAAGAACCGCAAGATTTAGTGCCACCAAATTTCAGACACAACTAGGGGCAACCATTTGACATGTGATCTGGGAGTTTTGTGTTCCAGTGACCCCAGGTCAGGTCACAAATCACAAGAACCGGTACATGGTCAAAGTGGTACTGAAAATACGTTATTTTGTCCATGAGAATAGAGTCCCAACCCCCCCCCCCTCCCCTGGCCGTCTACGTTATGAAAAAGGCCCTGGCCTGGCGAGGGATAACCCTCGCCCGTATTGGTGTTTTTCCAGCCGCGAACGTATAAGGGGGAGGGGGGTCCGTTGGACCCCCCCCCCCTTGCCGTTTCGCCCCTGATCGAGCTAGAGCTTCGCAAAAAAGGAGCGTGTTGCCCATGACGAGAGGAAGCCGATGATACCCAATTTTAAGGTCCTAGGTCATCGGTTGACCTTCCAGGTCAGGTCAATGACCCAAAAGTCGTGAAAATCGGGACCTGTTAGAAAGTCGTAAAGCGTGGCTGCTGTGGGGTTTTTCGGGGTGCTGATCACGAATATCATGTTAGTTTTGATCACAGATGATGTCTTCATGCATTTAGGTCAGGTCGGGTCAGGTCAGGTCAGGTCAACCAGTAAGGGTATTCGTAGTAGGTGGCAACCGCCTCTGACAGCTTCGTAACATGTTACGAAGGCACCAAAACTACTTCGTAAATGTTCATATCGATGCTAAATTCGAATTCAGCTCCAAAAACTGGCATAGAAACATGTAAAACTCGAAAAAGTGAACCGAGGTCATCAAAGGTCAATGACCTGACCTGACCTTCCGGTGAACTTGACACCCGCCCTAATGCATGGGAGCAACATCATATCCCATGTTTGAACGCTTAAAACCACGAAAAGACTGCAAACGCGCGGCTAATGCGAGCCGACATACGCCGAATCGCGATTCCGGCCAAACATGGTCTCGAAAAGTAGGTCACAGGTCAAAGGTTGTCGCCACGCCGTCCTCTGGTCTGTAGTTGCGTACAGCGACACTTGATTTGACTGACTGGCTGTGGTGCAGGGTGAGGAGAAAGTGGATTTTGGTAGAGGATGGGAAGGAATGCGGTAGCCGCCGAGTGACCACAGCCCCTCGATGGCGAGGCTGCTGTGGTCAGACGGATCTGAGATGCTCCGGGATCTCGATGGCGAGATTGACCGAAACCGACTGGCCGCCCCAGGAACGAGGAGGCCACGAGTGTTGTATCCCGATGGCGAGACACGTCACTCGCGGTCAGCTTCGATGACTCGATGGCGAGACACCGCAGCCGCCTCCCTCCACACCCTCAATGAGAAAAGGAGAGAGAAAGTAGTGGGCCCCAGGACATAAAGACAGGTATCAGGAGCAGCCACGATTAGCACTGCTCGCACCGTCTTCCGCCACTTATGTCACCGCCCACCACACAAAGATGCACTTAGTAGGACGCTGTATTTGTTCTTTACCGTCCTCACCGCACGAGTCACAGACAGAGAGTGGGTCGGCGCAGCGAGCACCGGCCCCAGGTCACCTCGTTCCTCCCTCGCGGCACACGCCGGCGGCGGCCAATCACGACAGCGGGCCCTCACGTGACCCGAGCCGGGCCTCGCCTCGAGCGGGACCACCGGACGCACGTGGCCACCACATGGCTCGGCCGTAACCGGGCGGAGAGCGGCCGTCGGCCACTACATACTTCCCCACCGTGTTGCGCCTCGCAGCAACACTACACAATGCTCAGCCGACGCGCCAATGCTACATATAGACATTATACATTCTCACGTTCGCGGCCTTTAGAACATAAATGTGTCTTCACTCTTCACAGTTACCAAAGTCGTTGTTACAAACATACAAGACATATAAACACCGCTGCCAGCTAACCCTTTTAGCGATGACTCAAACATTCACCTCACAATATCAAACACTGTACGATTGCTCACCGCACAGCGCGCCTCGCGAATGATCCTCAGCCACCAGGCAGCCCAGCTCCCGCGATCAACGGCACTCTTCCTCCAGGAAGCAGATCTTTGCTGCTGGTCTGGTGTACGTCTTTCCGCAGGAGGTCCGTAGCGCAGCTGACCGGACTCTTCCGTCCTTACCCGGGAAGACCTGAACGATCCTGGCCAGAGGCCATGCTCCTCTGGGCAGATCGGACTCAGCCATGAGGACCAGGTCCCCTACTTGAAGGCTTCTTCTTTCCTGGCGCCACTTGCTCCGCTGTGTCAAAGTCGGTATGTATTCTCGAGTCCACCTTTTCCAGACGTGTTCAGCCACAGCTTGCGACTGTCTCCACCTCCGACGGCTGCACATGTCGTTGCCTCTTGTCAGGACTGGTGCCAGGTGTGGGGAAGCACGACCAAGCAGGAAGTGGTTAGGAGTCAATGCCTCGGGATCAGATGGATCGGAGCTCACATAGGTAAGTGGGCGGCTGTTTATCATGTGTTCGACCTCCGCGAACACAGTCAGGAGAACTTCATCGGTCAGCAGCTGAGATCCGACGACTGCCTGTAGGCACGTCTTGACCGACTTCACCATCCTTTCCCAAACACCACCCATGTGGCTGGCCGTTGGTGGATTGAACCTCCAGTCAATCTCGAAGGCGCTCAGGCGCTCAGGCATCTGCGCTAGCAGCACCTTTAGCTCTTCGCGTAGTTCACGGTTGCTGCCGATAAAGCTGGTACCGCGGTCCGAGAAAATAACCGCTGGCTGGGATCTGCGAGAGAAGAAGCGTCTGAGGGCCATGATGCAGCTGTCCACTTCCAGCGAATGTGTCAGCTCCAGATGAACAGCACGGGTCGCCAAGCACGTTATCAGCAGTCCGTATCGCTTCTCAGTTCTTCGGAACCGCTTCACTCGCAGTGGTCCAAAGTAGTCCACACCCACGTTCTTGAACGGATGATCGGCTTCGAGTCTCTGAGCGGGAAGGTCAGCCATCCTTGGTGGCGCCGGAGCAGCTCTGCGTCGATGACAATAGAGGCAACTGCGGAGCTGCTTCTTCACCTCTGCGCGTCCTTGGGGAATCCAGAACTTCTGCCGTACTTCATTCAGCGTGTGTTCTGTCCCCGCATGACCATGACGGACATGCTCTTGCATGATGATGAGCCTGGCGAGCTCGCTTTTCCTCGGCAGGATGATCGGATGTCGGGACTCCTCGGGAATAGATGTTTTCCCGATGCGTCCTCCAACACGGACCAGGCCATTGCTGTCGCAGATCGGTGTCAGCGAAAGCAGAGGACTGGAAGTCTGGATCGGCCGTCGCTGTTTCAGACATCGGAGTTCTTCCCCGTACGTCGTGAGCTGCTCTTGTCTGATGATCCAGACTTCGGCCTCCACCATCTCAGAGCGTGATAGTGGACCTGATAATGGAGGTTGTCGGCCAGGCAAGAACGCCTTCAGGTTGTGCACAAAACGCTTGATCCAGCCGACAACTCGCTTGTACTTGATCCACGATGAATACTTCGCTGGGTCCGGTTCTTCTGGTCGTGTTGATGCTGCGATGACATTCACTGACGTCGCCTGTTTTTGTTCTTCTTCGTTGTCTGCCAGTGGTGCCAGCTTCTCCACTGGTGGCCACTGGTCGACGTCCTCACGCAAGAAGTCTGGACCAGCGATCCAACGGCAGTTGTGCGCGAGCGCGGAGACATGAAGTCCTCTGGAAGCATCGTCCGCCGGATTGAGCCTACCAGGCACGTGACGCCAGCTTGCGTCACGCGTCAGCTCGTGGATTTCGGCCAGCCTGTTGGCGACGAAGGTCTTGAATCGGCGAGCTTCGTTGTCGATGTACTGTTGCACAACCTTACTGTCTGTCCAGCAGACGATGTCGTCAGGTCGTTGGGATAGCTCCCCGACGACAGCGTCCGTCAGCCGCGCTCCCAAAACCGCCGCCTGGAGCTCCAGTCGGACGATGGATAGAGGTTTTACCGGAGCGACTCGGCTCTTCCCCATCAGGAAGCGACAGTGGTGACATCCGTCCCTCGTCGTGGTCCTCAGGTATGCCACGGCGCCGAACGCCTCTTCGGAGGCGTCACAAAAGACATGGAGCTCACGCCGTACTGTCTCGAGGCCTCCTGGCGTCACGCACCGTTGGACTGTCACCTCAGTCAGCTTCTCTGACTCTTTCAACCATTCTGTCCAGGTGCTGAGCTCAAGCTGTGGCAGCGGGTCGTCCCATCCCAAGTGAAGGCACCACAGCCGCTGCATCATCACCTTCGCTCGCACCGTGAACGGAGCGACGATTCCAAGTGGGTCGAAAATCGCTGAAACCTTGCAGAGGACTCCTCGTTTGGTTGCACTGGCTTCTTCATCTCGTAGTCTGAAGCCAAGAGAGTCTTCTTCCTCATTCCAAACGACCCCAAGAGCCTTTTCACTCAGTTTTGAGCCTTTCAAGCACAGACTCGTCGAGGGATTTGCCCTTTCAGCCTCTGGGAGACTCCGAAGAACTGTAGGTGAGTTGCTGCGCCACTTCGTGAGATGAAAGCCGCCGTTCCTCAGAGCTTTCATCACCTCTGCTTGCAGATCATGAGCAGCTGCTTCTGTCATGCTTGAAAACAGGCAGTCATCCATGTAGAAGCTCTGGATCATCTCATCAGGGCTCACTGGGCCTTCCGCACTGACTGAGGCTCCGTGATCTTGAAGGGCTCTTCGCAGCACGTAGTTGGCGATGGTCGGCGATGACTTCGCTCCGAAGATTACCACCTGCATTTGGTAGACATCAGGTTCACGTTGTCGCTCCATGTCTCTCCAGAGGAAGCTGGACGCGGGCTGGTCAGCTTCCCGTATCCGGACTTGGTGAAACATTTGCTTGATGTCGGCTGTGACTGCAATTAGTCCCTCTCTGAATCGCAGCAGTACCCCGGGAAGGTTCTGGAGTAGGTCTGGGCCTGTGATTAGCTTCTGGTTCAGGGACGCTCCCTGGTACAGTGCCGCAGCGTCGAATACGACTCTCACCTTCCCCGGTTTATTGGGATTGAGGACTGCATGATGTGGCAGGAACCAGCGCTTCTCCTTGGGTTCCATCATCTCTTCTCGTGATAACTTCCTTGCATGTCCATCATTGATGTACCCATCAATTATGTTCTTGTACTTCTCCGCAAGTTCTGGATGCTTTTCCAGTTTCCTTTCTGTTGATGTTAGCCGGTAGTATGCCTGCCTTGAGTTGTCGGGGAACGTCGGATTTTCCTCACTCCACAGCAAGCAGGTCTCGTATCTCTCACCGACCTTTTTGGTCTCTTGATCCAGAAGAGCCAATGCACGGAGATCTTCTTGAGATCTTGCGTCCTTGACGTTGATCTTTGTGCCAAAGGCTTCAGTGGTCCACCACTCCTGAACCAGCTCACTCAGGTTCTCTTCATCTGTTGACTGTTTGCGTACAAACATGACGTGCCGCGTACTACGGGGTACCAGTGCCGACACAGATCCAGTCAGGGTCCAACCGAAATCTGTCCTCACTGCGACCGGTTGGCCGGTACCTCCCACTCTGATCTCCCGTTGCAGGACAGCTTCCAGTATGTTGGCCCCGAGCAGCAGCTCGACACGTGCACCACTGTACTGAGGAAAGTCGAGACCCTGCAGATGCTTCCAGCTGGAGGTCTGTCGTCGGCTGATGCTGGGTGGAGTAACATTCAATCCTGGCACAGACCAAACTTCCGGGATTACGATGCGGCCCTCTTTGGCATCGGCAGAAATAGGGCTGACTGTCAACGGAACACGGATGGATGACTGTCTCTGTCCGCTTCCTTCGACGTTCTGAAGTCTGAGCTCTTCACGCTCCCCCTTCACACCGATTTCTTGCAGCACCTTCTCACAGCAGAGTGACGTTTGCGCCCCCGGATCCAGAAGAGCGACAACATCCTTGTCACCGTTCGGGCCGTGGACTCTGACAGGAACCAGTTGTACAGGGTGTTTCACTAAAAGTGTCAAAAAGTAAAAGGCCCTAATGCACATAATAACAATGTTTTCTATGGACATTTGCACATCATTCCATCCGCAATTGTTGGACATTTGAATATATAAAAATGATATCACCGTCACTCAAACCTATTCCACATATCCGCCGCTTCTTTTGATGCACCGTTTCGGCACGTGTCCGGAGGTGCCTCACAGCCCGTTTTCATCTTCAGCGTCCAGACTGTCGGCAAAGCCTTGCATTGTGCTCTTCAGCTCCAAAAGTGATGCGACTTAAGTCTTCCTCAGCTCTGCGAGAGCTACTGACCAAAACCAGAAGGCTAGCGGTGACAGATCGGGGCGGTGAGGCAGCTGATTATTCGGCCCGGGAACGGAACTTCTGGTCCAGCCAGTTCTTGGTGGCTACAGCCGTTACAGTGGTTGTTTTTGATAAATTGGGGACTTGGCTATTTCTGATGTTGAAATAAGCTTCTTGTTATCTTAAAAGGCCCTAAAAAAGACCCTGACCTTTTCAACGATTTCCGCCGAGAGTTGGGGGCGACCCGCCTTTTTTGGACTGGAACCGGCATCAAAGGAACCCTTTTAAACCTCTCAAGAAGCCCTTTGAAACTTTTATAATCTGGGTCGTAGCGAGGTGAGAGAGTGAAACGTTTCCTGAAAAGTCGGCGCACGGTTTCAATGTTTCTGATAGCACCAAATGTAAGTGTAATCCACCGCTCCTGTTGCGGTGTAAATAATCTGTTCTTGTTCTGTATAAGGAAAAAAACGACTAGTAACTTTGGCCTCCTGCCCTCGCTCCGTATGAGTGTAAAATATATCTTAAGTGGCCAAAGCATAAATGTCCAAAAATTTGCAACAAAGCCACGTGCGCAACCACGTGCTTTGCGTATTTTATATATCTTTAATAAGCATTTACTTTTTGACACTTTTAGTGAAACACCCTGTAGAAGCGTGTCTGTGGCTTCCGTCATGGCTGCACCAACGATCGGATCTTCTCTGTTCAGGCGATTCTCTGTTCTGCCGCTGCTCTCCCCGCCCCCTGAATCACCTCTGGGCGTATGTAGAAGCTTGTGATGTGTCGCCCTGCATCCATCTGTGCCACAGCGCTTGGCAGATCTACACGATCTGACGAAGTGCCCCTTCCTGAGACAGGCCCAGCACAGTCGCTCCCGTCTCACAGTCACGAGCTTTTCCTCCAATGCCTGGGCTTGAAAATCAGGACAGTTTTCCAGTTTGTGCTCCCCTTCGCAGACGACGCAAGGCCTGAGCCTATGGCTTTCCTCACGCGGTGAGGATGCGGAAGTGGCCAATGTCGTCCGCCTCGTCATGGTCTCTTTCGGAGTCACCACAGTCTTCCTCTTTTCGGGGTCACGGCTCGGGCGAGTGGTGTAGCTCAACACGTTCATCTGGATCTTCAGCCACTCGCTAAACATCTCCAGATTGGGCTGGTTTGGTCGCATCCTGTAGACTTCTTGGCCCCACTGATAAGTCAGCTCGTCAGGGAGCTTGGCAATCACTCTGCGGAGGGTGTCGCTTGCCCCCAGATCATAATAGTAGCCCAGGGCTCGCAGAGTCATAACCGTGTTGCTGATGGCGGAGCTGAACCTCTCCATTGACGCCAAGCTATTCACACTTGGTGCTGGGGTAGAAAACATCTGATTGAGACTTGCCTGGCTGATTTCGTCTTTCCGACCGAAACGTTCATATAGCGTCTTCAGTGCTTGCTCGTACAGCGATCCATCAAACAAAAGCCCTTCAATGGCTTGGTGGGCAGGGCCCTCAACTGCTTGCTGCAGATGAGTCATCCGCTCTGCATTCGTCAGCGATGTCTGATTGTGGACCAGCACTTTAAAGAGGCTGATCCATCGAGGCCAGTCAGCGGGATCCCCTCGATAGGTGTGGAGGCTGAGGCTCGGTACACTCTTGGAGAACGCTGTTGACTGACTCGAGCGTGCTTGCTCTTGAGAAACATCTGGAATCATCCAGGTACTGGGATCTAGGGTTGTGGTTGCACTTCCAGCTGAGGCCTCAAGTGGTGCCCCAGTCGCAGCTTGATCGGCTGTCGTCGGCTGCACGGCGTCGTTCACAGCGCAGTCTTCGTTTGCCAAATGGTGTGTGGCAGCGGTGTGACCTTCCTGCCGCTCGTCCCTCTGTTGATCACGCTGAGAGTGCATGCCGCAGTTACCCATGGATGTCGCAGTGCCCTCACAGACACCTTCACGTGTTGGCTTTGCTTCTTCTCCCATCCCAGCGACAGCTTCGTCAAAGTCATGACGACGATCCCAATTCAGGTCATCTTCAGCAGCGCGATAGAGACGGACCTTTCTTGCTGCTCGATTTCGAGTCTCTTCAGCTATCTTCAGCTGAAGTGCACTGTCGCGCTCTTGAAGCTCCCACTCTTCTTGTTGTCGGAGATTCTCCATTTCGAGCTGAGCTTCACGTTGGCGTTTCTCCGCCCTTTGCCTCTCCATCATGTTACGGCGACTTTCTTCTACCTGGGCCCTGACGTCTTGTAGCTTGCGATCCGCATCCTCCAATTCTACGGCGACCACTCTTGATCGGACTGAAGCGGCCGTCCCTGCTGACGTATGTGACTTGGCGTGACTCGGCCCACGGCGGGAAGTGGTAGCTGATGAACGAACTTCGTCCAGCTCTTGGAGATATTGTTGAATCTTGCCCTGGATGGCTAGCTCTTCTTCTTCGAAATGATCGGCATATGCTTGAGCTTCTTCAATCTCTTCGTCTCCCAACTTGCTTTCATATGTCTGATGAGTCTTTCGCAAATCGGCAAATGCTTCTTCTAGTCTTGCGCTGACCTGATGGATGCGGTCACGATTAGCATGTCTTGTTATCTCTACTTCTACTGCTTTGCTGGCCCTTGTCGTAGCAGCCCTCTTGCATCCACGCAGTCGGCGCAGGTCAGCAAGCTCCTGATCCTTGGCGGCACGCTGAGCTTCAGCCATTGTAGGATCGACTGCTTGAGTTTCACAACTGTATTCTGCATCCATTCAGCAGTTGCGATGGGATCTCAGGTTGAGATCCGGCCCGTGGAGGACCAGAAAATGTCGCCACGCCGTCCTCTGGTCTGTAGTTGCGTACAGCGACACTTGATTTGACTGACTGGCTGTGGTGCAGGGTGAGGAGAAAGTGGATTTTGGTAGAGGATGGGAAGGAATGCGGTAGCCGCCGAGTGACCACAGCCCCTCGATGGCGAGGCTGCTGTGGTCAGACGGATCTGAGATGCTCCGGGATCTCGATGGCGAGATTGACCGAAACCGACTGGCCGCCCCAGGAACGAGGAGGCCACGAGTGTTGTATCCCGATGGCGAGACACGTCACTCGCGGTCAGCTTCGATGACTCGATGGCGAGACACCGCAGCCGCCTCCCTCCACACCCTCAATGAGAAAAGGAGAGAGAAAGTAGTGGGCCCCGGGACATAAAGACAGGTATCAGGAGCAGCCACGATTAGCACTGCTCGCACCGTCTTCCGCCACTTATGTCACCGCCCACCACACAAAGATGCACTTAGTAGGACGCTGTATTTGTTCTTTACCGTCCTCACCGCACGAGTCACAGACAGAGAGTGGGTCGGCGCAGCGAGCACCGGCCCCAGGTCACCTCGTTCCTCCCTCGCGGCACACGCCGGCGGCGGCCAATCACGACAGCGGGCCCTCACGTGACCCGAGCCGGGCCTCGCCTCGAGCGGGACCACCGGACGCACGTGGCCACCACATGGCTCGGCCGTAACCGGGCGGAGAGCGGCCGTCGGCCACTACAAAGGTCATTAGGGTTAGGGTCATGAAAATTTCATGGTAGGTGTAAAATTGATTAACGCGAGGGTACTGAACGTTTCGTCGCGATCGGCGCTTTTTACGCGAGTTATTGGCGAAAAACCGAGGGGGTCCGTTCGACCCCCCCCCCCCCCTATACGGGCGAGGGTAATAAATATCTATAGGAATCTTGAATAACTCCACCTTTGTGACACTGCTTTTTGGATTTACTAAGCGGTGGCCTTATTAACTGGAGTCAGTTTATGCTTCTATGGACAAATCCGTGAACAGCACAAGTGGCCACAATAAGCGGATGGGTTTGTTATCCCAGGATTTATTAAGCGGATTCTACTGAACCAGCACAATTGAAAGAAATTATCCGACGAAATAAAGGAAATATAGTTGTAGATCCCAGGCGACTTACAATATGTATAAACGGGCAATACCAGAAGATTTTAACATGCAAATGCCGTCACTACTATCAAGGCGTACCTAAACCAAACTTCTTCACCGTCTGCAGTAGGAATAATTAATAGGCAGGCATATTCCAACTAGAAAGTATTTATGCACGAGAGGGGTACGTAGTTGGGAGTCCATTATGCTTGAAATACTTTGAATTACATAGATGATCTTTAACATTTTTTCTTTGGATGTGTAGACGTTAAAATATTGTGGGCAAAGGTCATCCGTCATCTTGAAAA